AAACTTTCCATAACCCCTATAGCAGCGAGTACGAGACCTCACGAACTTGAGTGGAGAGCGTAGGACTCCTGGTTCCCGACTTGTGCCCTTCGAGGGAAATCACTAGAAGCTCCCTATGGGCGATGAGGTTTCTCGCTCAGGCCGCCGCATCTGCGCACCGCCTTGCAACGTCACTTATGAAAGTATATGGCTCATTTAGAGTAGGTTTTGTGGGTTTATAGGAAGATGTTACACATTCTCAGCCAGAGCAGTAGGCAGTCTGCCTCCTGGCTCTTGCCAGCGCATCAAGCGCCGGAAGAGGTTCAGACATCGGCATATCTTCGTAACTCTCATGGGCTTCAATGTCGTTTCGCCGCTCTGATATCTATAAAAAAAGTATTTATAGGTGCTCTTGATACCTTTCCAGTGCGAACTTCGTCAGCAGACACATCATCAACACTATGCAATGCCGACAGAGGCAGTGTTTGAGTAGCATCTAGTTCCAGCTTTCTCGAAGCACCCTTGCCACACAGCTGTCTGTAATAGCCTATACGGACCATCAACACCGTCTTTTAGGTGAATTGCTGTCCAAATTCTGTCTCTTCCGTTCTTGAGAGCCTGTCTGTTCGCTCCAGCCTACTTGCTCAAAGTAGCGCCTGTGAGGTCCTTGCAAAGAGCCTTCTACGAACGTCGTGGATCACCCTTGTTCATGATGTTTCAGGCTCTTATGGACCCAGAAGGGTCGAATACCTTGTGGTCTAGGTGTTTGATAGTGCAGGGCGATTTATGGAATTTGTTTCATTTTACGATGCAGAAAGTGCGCGAGCGTCGTTCGGAGTCGGCCGGCATAAATTTCGCAACCAGCTGTAACAACGGGAATGGGATGAGTTACGAGACACGAAGACGAAGTGTATTCGCTTGATTACCATGATGGAGGTTTCACAGAGGAAATCGTAAGATGATCGCGTTGAAGGGTCGTTAGTAGTCGTGGGTTGGTAAGGAACGGAGTAGGGACTGGCCGGTGTATATATTGGAGGGGTGTGATCTATGACGTCGTCGAAGAGAGAACGTGCGTCACATTTTCTATACAGGACACCTGTTGCGCCTATCGCACATGGGGCGGAGCATAGACAGGATTCGGAGTAAGCAAGCTACCGTTGGTCAGTATCAGTCAGTTCTCGTACCTTACGCCTCCCATGCTCAGAAATACCTCGACGTCGCTAGAGCGGCGCCGATTGTCCACACCGTTTCGTGCTGGGAACTTACTTTTCCAGACACTTGCATGACCGCATAGACGTGTCATCGCTGCCCGGTGGCCACTGTAGACGACGGTCGTGTCGGGAACCGGAGTCGGATGCTCGCCTCGATGTCGAGTCCCAAGCACCGTTCCAACGGAGCATTAGCCTGAAATACGTATACGAGACGAGGCTGGGAACAGGCGTCTATGACACGGCATCTGCCGACCAAGGGCACAACGAGTGACTGGTCCAACGAGGCGGCCACTGCGCAATCCGACGTCTCTCGCGCAGGCTTTTTCCCTTCTTCGCATACATCTCTTCGGGCTGTCTGGACTCTGAAGTACAACCGGCCATGGCCACATATGACTCGCTACATCGGCAATGCCGCACGCTCGAAGCGCTCTTCGATACCAAGCTTACCGCATACGCACGCCTCGCCTCGTCCATTTCACGCAACAACGACGATCTCGAGTCAGGCGGATCCTCAGAGAGATGGAAGGACCTCGAGGTTGAGGTTGACGAGCTGCTGGAGAAAGTAAGCTGCACTTTGTCCGGTGCGCGTGCTTGAATATAGAGCTTAGCAGGGACGCGCACCAGCTACAAGAGATCAACGACCAGTTGTCCACCCTTTCAAACGACACAGAGAACCCTCCATCGCAGTCTATGCTCCGCGCTATCCAAAGACATAGGGAGGTCTACTTGGATTATGCGCGAGAACTGAGACGAACGAAGGTACGTGTGCATTGGGCAGTTTCGTCCCTTCGAGCGCGCGTTGACATGGTCAACCCTTTATATCCATAGGCCAATGTGAAGACAGCTCTTGACCAGGCTAATCTACTCAGCGGCGTCAGGAACGATATAGAGTGCGTCTCGCAGTATGATGCTCTACAACGTCACCGCTAACTTCAGAATCAGTGCCTACAAGTCCTCAGCAGCAGACTCCTTGCTCGCCGAACGCGGACATATTGACAGTTCGCATCGAATGACGGACGACATGATTGCGTACGTCCCACTTTTTCTCGCCATCATGTTTCCCCGCCCAAAACATACTACACTTCCTTCCTTCTGTCTCGCGTATCTGCTCACACCGCCCCCGTACCACATACTCACGCCGCACGCATGTGCGTCCCACAGGCAGGCGTACGAAACCCGTGCAGAATTCGCGCGCCAACGGACAACCATCTCGGGGATCAACGCGCGTATGCAGGGCGTCCTCAGTGAGTGTCCCTTCTCGTGACCCTGGTTGCCCGACTGCCATAGAGACTAATAGCTGACTGCGCGCTCCCCTTCATGCCCTGACGCACCGCACCCCAACCGCATCCATCCCTCGTCTCTCATCGTTGTCATCGCATCACGCCTTTCTCATCCCGCTTTCTCGCGATCCCGCCGCTGATTCCGGCACTGCATCTATGAATGTTGTATCCGGCCAATAGGTTCTATTCCTGGTATCAACAACCTACTCTCGATGATCAAGACGCGGCGGCGCCGGGATGCACTCATCGTCGGCTGCTTGATCGGCCTCTGCACCGTCTTACTGCTCATGTACATGTTCTGACGCACCCATGGCTCAGGCGTGTTGCAGCCTGACGACCCACATCTGTGGGCGCGCCGAGCTCTTCGCTACTTTCTGTAATACGGACACTGGGTAGTGTTAATGGATATATTCTTATTGGACCGATATTGCTTTGGAGGCCACCTGTTATTCCAAGAAAGTGTGATGTGAACGCGGACGAGCCGCCACAGCTGTACAGAAATGCTCATCCGGCAGTTCTGTCTGTCCACTGGAGCATACCTCATTGTTCCATCGTATCCGCCGTTCTCATCGGCGACCGGCACACCAGACATCGCTCCAGAACCCAACCTCAGTCAGTCGCTTTCCGAGTTCTCCGCCTCCCACTCCTCGATCGCCCGGTCCCTCCTCTGCTTCCGCTTGACGGACGGCCTATGGCCGCCGCGCTCGAACGCCCTCCAGTTCTCCGCCAGCCGCCGCACGGCGCCCCACCGATCCTCGGGAGCGTCCGCGTCCGCGTCCCACGCATCCTCGACGCGCCAGCCCTTGACCTCCGCGATGGTCTGGAGTATGTGCCACGTGTACGGCGCCGAGCAGCGCACGTCGTGGAAGTCGGACTCGACGAGGATCCGGTCGGGCGCGCACGCGGCGATGAGGTCTTTGTGCGCGGGCGAGCGCGCGTTGATGACTGTCGAGAGCGAGAGGAAGACGTTTGGATGTCTTTTCTGAGCGGGGGGGAAGGGGGCAATGTGGGGATATAGGTGTCAGTGGTGCGGAATGTTAGCATTGTGTTGCCTGTGCGCGTCACAGACTGGATAGGCTGAGGCCGCGGGAGCGCACCAACGCTCGCGTTGACCATCGCGTTCGGGCGTATGGCCCATTGCGAGCGGGCGAAGCTGACTCGAACCGCCCTTCTGCACGGACAGGTGCTAGCATAGTGCAATCCTCTAGCCCGTCCAGCACCAGGTCTAGCCGGAGAGCCTGTCGTCCCTCACGCACGGGACCCACGACCACGAAAAGACGACACCTACCGCAATATCCCTGAACGTCTGAGCGCTCAGCCCACAACTGTGCAAGTCGACGCTAATCCTAAGCCATCGCTCTCCGTGCTTCCTGTACATCCGGTCCAGCACCTCGCCAGTGGCCGCCTGGCACTTGACGCTGTGCAGGCTCACGTTGCGCCCGAGCTCGACCGCGAGACCCAGCTGCGCCTCCAGGACCCCGAGCTGGTGCTCGAGCGGGATCGTGAAGGGCGAGAGCGAGCGCGGGCCGTCCGCGTCCTCGTCTCCGTGAGTGGGCGCGTACTCGGAGTAAGGCGGGTCGGCGGGGCGACGGTAGGGCACGCGACATACGCGGTCGATCCCCACCTCGCCGAGCATGGCGTTCGGGAAGGTCTCCAGGCTCTCGCGCAGCTCGGGAAGGATATCTGCTATGGGTGTGGGGTCCGGGAGGTACGGCAGCAGCCGCTCGAAAGCGGCAACTAGGTCCGGTTTCGGCGGGGGGCTAGGCGGGAGGAAGAGCGCGCGATAATGCTCCTCTTTCGAGACGACGGGCGAGAGGGCGATCCAGTGCGCGAACCAAGGGTGGTAGCCTGCAGGGCGCGTTGGTCAACGCACGATGCTGACAGCGGCACAGTTTGGGATTGGAAGGGGCACATAGCTATAGCGAGAGCCCGAAATGCGACGAATCATCTCCTCGAGGAGCACGGTCGACACCTACCGAAACATGGGGTCACCTTGTCGGGGTGCGCTCGCGCGAGGTCGGCCACGAGCCTCTGGTCGCTGCGCCTCGTCGCCATGGCGCATATCCGGATTGGCATCTGCTCGGCCACCCGCAGCGTCATGGCCATGTCGGAGTCCGTAGGATGACAGTGCACATCGATGACATGCTCGAGCACGGACCGAGGCACGGTTTCCAGCCTCGCCTGCATCTCCTTGAGCTCTGATTCCATTGTGTTTTGTGTTTTTCAAAATCAACGCCGAGCTTGTCGGCGAGGAATCAGACACCGCGATGTCTGCGTGATGCGTGGGATTGGCCAGCAAGGATTATTGTCCTTCAAACTGTGCGATCCGCTGGAATCCGCAGTGTATACCGTCAGCGTGGAGGTCCTGAGATGATGGTGGAACGAGATAATCATACTCCGTAGAAGGAATGTTGATTTGGACTGCTGCGATGGATTGTGTCGATGTCGTGGTCGCTCTAGCGGATACGTATGAATCACCTCGAGGTCGTGCTGATCGCACGAAGTTACTCACGATTTGCGGAAGTTATAGGAGATATAGTGAGGGAAGCTATTATCCGCGGATACGGAAGCCCTTAAGAGCGGGGGGCTGTGTTAAGGGCGCGAGTGATACGTAGATGGAAGGAAGTCCAGAAGTTGGGCAAGAGAGTGAGGCGAGTAAGTTCCAATGACAGATCGCGATCGCAGCCGACCTGGGTAAGCTTGGGATAGTGGGTACTTATATTGGAGAGATTCGAGGTCAGGTTGCAATTGGCACTGAATCAAGGTAGCTTCACTGCCACTCAATGAGTCAAAGTGAGCAGGTGGATTAACCGCGAGGAGATGACTTGAACGTTTTCGAACGAAGTGTAGCGATCCGAAGCGCGGGATCATTATAGTAGCGCGCCACACTGAAGGACGTTCTGCGGTCGTACTACGAACGGTAACACGATATATCGAACAGTGGAAATTAGATGGTCACGGCAGTATTCAGCGAGCGAGGTCTTCTTAGCTGTACGATTGTGATGAAATTGCTTCGAATCCACCAACTTACGGGTCATCGACGCTAAGGCACACTGTCAAAGTTATGCAGGTTGCGTAGATAGATGTACAAATTATACAGACTGCATAGCGATACAAGTGATACATCCAATGTTCGTGATACACAATGAAGCAACTCAACTGCTACCCATGTAGTTCGTCTTATCAGTGTTCTGCCCCTGCTGCTGCCTGTCGGCCTTGTCTGTCCCTTCGGGAGCGGTGGTCGCAGCCTGGACCTCCTGTTTGCTGTCACTAGAGGTAGCGTCCTCTTCATCATCTTTCCCTCCAGCTTTTGCAAAAGGACCGCCGTCGCCGCCAAACTAGAAGGAAGATTAGAACAAGGAAGCACAGTCAGCGCATGTAGAGATGAACGTACATCGTCCTGCAGCTGCTTCTTCTTCAGCTGACCGGTACGCATTTCATGCCCGTGCTGCACGAGATCGGGTTTGCGCAACACCTTGCCTTTGACCTCCTCCTGGAAGCCCTGGAGCTTGTCTGAGGTGCCCTGTGCCAAAGTTAAATCATGTGCGAATGCTTGAGGAAGGGCGAGACATACCGCTCCTTTGCCGTACTCAGGACCGTAACCGACAGCGCCTGCATGTCGCTGGGGTGGGTAGGCAGAGTCCTCCGTACTCGATTGGGTCTCTGGCGCGGCAGGGCCTGAATGCTCTGGAGAACGGGGCTGGTCGTCGATCTTGGCCTTGTCTACGTTGCTGTCGCGTCTGGGTTCGGCCATGGTGTAGAGTGATCAGAGTATGAGTAGCGGGTTCTGTGCAGACTTGGCGTAAGAGCAGAAGGATATTGACTGGAGTATGCTGTTGGACTGTGAGCTCCTTGCGCTTATATGCATACTCTATTTCTGTCACTCGACGTTGGAGACATGACGCACCAGTCTGCCCCGAACTCGCGACGCATGACGTCGGCCTGTCTGCAGACGAGTATGACATCATCGTCCTCAAGCATAACGGCTAGCGCTGAAACCTTGGGGCGATGCGTGTCGTGTCCTTACCCCGTGCGCGGTTTCTTGCGGGAGTCGTCGTCAAGTACTGACCTACGTAGTGTGGCAACTTGCTAGAGTTCGGAGAGGCCAGACTCCGAGTCCCACGGAACCGCAGGCGCCACCATGTAGGCTCACGCTTCCTTCTTTTGGTCATAATCCCATCAAAAATTTCCGCGCTTGATTTGCCTGAAGCGTGTTCCTTGCGATCTGCATCTCTGCCGCCACCAATCCGTTCCAGCCAGATCATCCTGGTCTCGGTCAACTATTCGCTTTCACCATCAGCCTTTCCGGATTCTTACTGCCTTGGTGGACCTGGCATTTAGATGATCGGTCGGCTGACCCGACGATTCTTCACATCCGCTGTACAAAACATCATGTCCAAAGGCATCAGCAGTCAACTCATCCTTCCTAAAGGCCGTGGATTCGGACTCAAGGACGGCGTTCTTGACAAGGACCAGTTCCGCAAGGTCATTCCAGTCCTCGCTGCTAAGGTTCCTCCCGAAAAGGCCGGTGTCATGCTCAAAGCTCCCGCTCTGAAGAGGTGCGTCGCCGCTGGGGTCTACGGCTGCGGTAACGGGCTTACGAAAGGATGCCCTCAGAGCTCTCATCGATGTTCCCAAGGTGAAGAGCGTCGCGAGGGGTCCGGACCAGCAGCGACTAGTGTTGTTCAGATACACTGATCAAGGTGCTTTCCGCTCCCCGTGCTTCGCGCGTGACTACCGACTGAACGCTGCGCCAAGCCAGCCGACCTGACTCCGGAAGCGCTAGAATTCCTCCAGTCCGAGTCCGCCGAGCTGGTCTCCCATGAACTTACGTTTGATTATGATTACTGGAGCAGCGGTGCGTGCCATCGTTTGTTCACCGGATTCCACGGGAAAACGCTAAATGTTCGTTGCTAGACGAGGTGATCCACGCTATTCTGCCCGAAGAACTCGAAGCAGAAGCACCGTCGGGGTTCGCTGTGGTCGGTCATATAGGTGTGTTCATCGACTCCTGCGGGCGCAGCGTTGTCTAAAGTTTGGAAGCCCACCTGAACCTTCGGCCGCAATACTTGCCGTACAAGCATGTCATCGGTCAGGTCATTCTGGATGTATGGCAATTCCTCTGCAGCAATGGACTTTCCTGATTCAACTCTTTGCAGAAAAACCCGTCTGTTAGGACTGTGGTGAACAAGCTTGATAACATCAGCACTCAGTTCCGCGTTTTCAGTATGGAACTTCTAGCGGGGGACCCCGACTTCGTCGTTACCCAGGTATAGTCATCCGCGATCTCGTCGGCACGCTTGCTGAACACCGTGGCGCAGTCTGAAAACGACTGTCGGTTCACGTTCGACTTCCGGGAAGTCTACTGGAACTCGAGATTGCACACCGAGCACGAACGGCTCATCGCCAAATTCAGCAAGCAAGATCTCATCGCGGATGTTTTTGCGGGCGTGGGGCCTTTCGCTATCCCCGCCGCCAAGAAGGGCTGCGCCGTTCTCGCGAACGACCTCAATCCCTCGAGCTTCAAGTATCTAACCTTGAACATCGCAGAGAACAAGGTGCGTGCGAGTACTCCTCGTTATACCCGGCCGGCGGGCTAACGTTGAGCAGGTCGGGGCGCTCGTGCGGGCTTTCTGCGAAGACGGTCGGGAGTTTATCCGGCAGGCGTTCAACCGAGCGTGGGACGAGCCCCTCGCACCGGTGCCCCCGCCCAAAATCCGGCGGACGGAGCAGAAGGAGATTCGCGCCGGAGAGCGGCCGGCACCTCCTCCTGGGCCCCCGCGGAACCGCATCGGCCACTTTGTCATGAATCTGCCGGATACCGCGATCCTGTTCTTGGACGCCTTCCGCGGCGTGCTGTCGCGGGCGAACGCGGGGGAGCGGGATTTGAGCGGGCTGTACGGCGAGGCGTCGATGCCCATGATTCACACCCACTGCTTCACGCGGGAGCTCGAGCCGGCAAAGGCTGAGGAAGACATCCGCCTGGTGAGTGCCCAGCGTAAACACATGTCTGGCTCCGAACTCATCGATGAGTTCAATTCAGCGGGTGGAAGAGCAGATTGGGCATGCATTGGGAGAAGACGCGACGTTCCACTGGGTCCGCTCGGTGGCCCCTCAGAAGGAGATGTATTGTGTCAGCTTCAGGCTTCCGCGTGCGGTTGCGTTTGCGTCATGACAGCGTATCCCCGCAGAAATACACGTCCTGCCTGCCAACTCTGGGCCAATGGGATGCATTGAGTTGGGCGTCTGCACCAGCGACGATTACGTAAGCAGGGCACGGTTGGGAAACCAGGTAGACGCGCGCGTGGTCGGGGAGGACCGCCAACTCATCATTTACCCCGCCTCGCTGTCCGTGTTGCCTCGCGCACGATCTCTGCTCTCGTCCATAGAGTACTCTACTGTCTCTCCTTATAGAGATCTCTCGCTTCTTCTCCTCTTCCGCGGCTATACCCGGCTATATCCTCTAATACTCGCCGCTGCGCGTCGCTCGGCCTCTTCCGGAACACTAGACAAGAAGACCTACACTGAGTCCGGCCATGTCCCCGCTCTGCTTACCCCGCATATTCTCGACCGTCCACTGTGACGCAGAGGGCGCGCCTCCCGCTTCCCGCACCGTGTCTGCCCTTCAGTCTGTGAAGAGCGCTGTCGCGGTTCCCGAGAGCGAGCTAAGGCGTTGGAGAAGGACGTTCGATGCGAACGCGCAGACCGTCATAGACGGAAACAAGTGTGTATTGATACTGCGTATATTTGTACGAACTTGCTTATTCCAGCGCAACGCGCAGATACCTCAACAAGGAGCAGTTCGTGAACGCGATCGCGCCCAAGGGCGACCTCAGCAAGATCGGGCGCAACCAGTTCGGGACGCTCTTCCGCGTCGCGGACGTGAACAAGCGCGAGCTCGTGTCCTGGGATGACTTTGTGGTGTTTGAGACCATCTTGAAGCGGCCGGATGCGGACTACTGGATAGCGTTCCAATACTTTGACGTGTACGCACACCATCCAATTTACCCCGCGCGAGCAATGTCATGCAAACCGGACCCGCTCTTTTCTTTCTTCGCGCGCTGTGTTGCAGAGACGAGTCGGGCACCATCTCGTACGATGAGTTCAAGAACGTGCTGAACGCGAACGTCGGCCCTGACGCCATCCCGTTCGACTTTGACTGGTACGCAGCGACTGTTGAGTGCGCCTCGGTGGCAGGGTGCTGAGCTCACGATCGTATAGCGACTGGGTCAAGCTGTATCTTGGCAAGAAGAACGGCGCCCACGTCCTTGGGTGTACGTCTCGGTGCATATACCTCGCTCTCGCTATGACTCACGTACATCGTAGACAACGAGTTCACGCAGCTGATGAAGGGGCTCCAGGGCGAGCGTCTGCGCCAGGCCTTCAAGTATCTCGACAAGGACCAAGATGGCTACATCCGCGCCGAGCAGTTCAAGAAGATTATCCTAGTGCGTTCTGTTTGTATGGCTATCACGCGATATGACTTGACCCCTACTCTGTAGGACATTGCTGGCCACAAACTGTCCGACGCCGTCATAGAGAGACTTCCGACGTTGACTACGCTGAGCCCAGGCGGCCGCATATCCTACTCGGAAGTCAACGCCTTCCACAATGTCATCAAAGGTGCGTACCCTCCCTGGTCTCCCGTTGTATCAGGCAGCTGACACTCCCGGCAGAGATGGATATGGTAGAGCGGTATGTGCCTAACGATCTCATCTCACTACCTGCCCGTTGTACTTACTGGTGGATAGCATAATCCGCGAGGCCACCGCAAAAACCAAGGACGGTCGCATTGACCAGTCCGACTTCCTCAATCACTGCATGTCAAGCACCCGCTACTCCCTCTTCACCCCCATGGAGGCGTCCATCATCTTCCACTTCGCCGGCCGCGGTAACGGTTCGCAGCGCTTGTCCCTGCTCGACTTTGCGCAACTTCTAGATCCCCGGTGGAAGGCCCCTGGGGACGCGGAGGTGAAGCCGACTGCACAAGTTGAATCGTTGTTCCACCAGATCGCGCATTCGGCGTACAACTTCGGCCTCGGAGGTTAGCATTAGCTTGGGGACAAACTGCCGGAAGACGTACCTGATGCCCCCCCCCGTTCCACAGGTGTTGCAGGCGGCTTTGGCGCGACGATTGTATACCCTATAGATCTAGGTGCGTGTCCTTCTTAATTGCATCCTGTGTCCACATGTCTTAAGCTGTCCAACAGTCAAGGTAAGGTTCGGAGGTATCCATGGAACAGCGCTGACACTGACGCGTCCGATCGCATGCTCCACAGACGAGGTACGTGATCAATCGTTGATCGACGTCCGCTGCATCGCGTCTGAGAGCCGGTGTCCCTGCAGGATGCAGAACCAGCGGTCGACCGTCGTCGGGCAGCTTTTGTACAAAAACTCTCTGGACTGCGTCCGCAAGGTGTTTAGAAACGAAGGCTTCCTTGGGTTCTATCGCGGGCTTGGTCCCCAGCTGATCGTGCGTAGAAGCGTCAAACGCGTCTCATCACCGAAGACACCATTTATCTGATTCTATTTCCGTCTCGCACAGGGTGTCGCGCCTGAGAAAGCAATCAAGCTCACCGTCAATGATTTCATCCGCTCGCGCGCCATGGACCCCGAGACTGGGAGAATAACCTTGCCCTGGGAACTCGTCGCCGGCGGAACCGCTGGTGGTTGTCAAGTGGTACGTTATGAGTGTGCTTCGCCGAGGCAGGCATTAAGCGTAGCAATAATCGACGCTCCCCGCAGATCTTCACAAACCCGCTTGAGATCGTGTACGTAGAGGAATGACAGCGAGACGTAGGCGGAGAAGCATACTGACCGCTGTCGGTATTTCAGGAAAATCCGTCTCCAGATCCAAGGGGAGGCGGCTAAGCTGGAGGGAGCTGTGCCCAAAGGCGCTGTTCACATCATTCGCCAGCTGGGACTTCTTGGCTTGTATCGCGGCGCGAGCGCGTGTTTGCTGCGCGACATTCCTTTCTCGGCCATCTACTTCCCGGCGTACTCGCATCTCAAGAAGGACGTCTTTCAGGAAGGCTACAATGGCAAACAGCTGTCGTTCTTGGAGACGTTGACGTCTGCAGCAGTCGCGTACGTCGTTTCAGATCGAGTCCATCGCCACCGGTGATGGGTGGTATATGCCTGGATTGATAGGATGCTGACGGCTCTGAATACCGACGCAGTGGAATGCCAGCTGCGTATCTCACAACGCCTGCCGGTGAGTCTAGACCTCCCGGGAATAGGCGCTCGAAGACGACTGGCTAATCAAACGCGGATATCGCTCTTCCTTTACTCAACCCTGGGTAGATGTTGTGAAGACTCGGCTGCAGGTTGAAGCGCGGACCGGCCAGACAAACTACAAGGGACTAACGGATGCGTTTGTGAAGATCTGTGAGTAAATAGACCGTGGGGACCGGTTATCAGGCAGTGACTGACTGTGTGCCTGGCTTGGCTCGGCGGTGGGTAAGACCGAGAGGAGGGATTCAAGGCGTTTTTCAAGGGCGGCCCTGCTCGCATCCTTCGCAGCAGTCCGCAATTCGGGTTCACGCTGGTCGCGTACGAATATTTGCACAAGGTACGTGAGACACCTGGCGCGCGCGAGCAAGCGCCGGACGCTGATTGTTGGCGCGGATTGGTTGCAGTTCGTTCCAGTAAGTCGGGTTTGCTTAGTGGATAAGGCGGTGAAGCGCGGGGTGCTGATTGGTGCTTTTCCGCCGGAAGTACCCATTCAACGGGACGTCGAGGGAGGTGGAAACGACGACGCTTGCCTCGCAACGGGAAGACATGGCGCAGGTTCGGGCGCGCAATGCGTTGCGGATTCTTCTGGATGTGCACGGGGATTTCGGGCGGCGCTGAGGAGGGCGGAGGCCGGTCGCAGTCATGCGCCGGAGAGGGGGCGGGGGCGCATGTTACGTTTACGAGATCTACAATGTCATAATCTTTGTCTGCCTGCGCTGTGCAGCGTCGTTGGTTGGGATCAGTTCGAGCCGTCGAGGAGGGAATGGATGAGATGAGGGCTGTCCTGGCCAATGGGGCGGGGGGAGAAGCGAGCCAATGGGGGAGGCGGTGGCAGAATGTCTCTAAGGAGACACGATCAGTGATCATCTGTTCCGTCGTGACAGAACAGGTTCGGTCGCGTGTCCCGCCCCTCATATAGCCTCCCTCTCTCCCATCCCCCGTCCTCTCATCCCCCTTCCCCCCGTCTTCGTTTCCGGGCTTCTTCCTCATCCCCTCTTTTTTCTTCAGCGGTCAGTCTGCCTCTTGTCCATCAGCCTTCTGGGTTTGCGTTGCTGATTCTCGTCGCAGAGCGCCTTGCGTCCACGCAAGACTTTCCGCACCTTTGCTTGCCAACTGCTAGACAGTCCCGCCAGCGTAGACCGCTATCACTCTTTTGCAAACTAACGTATCTCTCCGGACTTTTCGCGTCACGACCATCAGCTGTCTTAATTGCTCAACATGAACTCCGTGCTTATCGCCCTTTCCCTCGCCGGTGCCGCCGCGGCCCAGATCCAGGCCGGCCCGGTGTCTATGCTCCCCTACAGCCAGGTCTACGCCTCCTCGAGCGCGGCCAACAACTATGGTGCTGCTTCCCCCTCCGCGACCTACGGTGGGTCTGCTTCCAGCAGCGCGCCCGCTTCCCAGTACACCCAACCCCCTGCAACTGATGGTGGCTACTCGGCGATGCCCTATTCCTCGTTCATGTCCGGAGGGTACAAGAGCATGAACTGCGGGTATGGCTACTCCAAGGCGAGCGACGGATCTTGCCAAGCGATGGGCTGGGTGAGCAATGCTTTGTATCGTCGCTTTGTTGCGATTGGCTAACCCAGCGCGCGTCAATCAGTGGCAGACTCAGGGGTGCTACGAGACGATCATCATCAACAATGGGTGAGTGAAATCCGTTGCGCATCTCTCGTGCCCTTCCTCACTCCTTTGAAGCGGAGGAGGCGGGTACGGCTACAACAACGGCTACGGCAACAGCTGCGATTCGGGGTACACGCAGACGGTCACTGAGACTCAGACGTCGGCTGTGACGTCCACGGTGACGGACGTGAGTGATGCATAGGCATGCATATCTTTGTTCATTATTCTGATGCGCCTCTCCGCAGACCATGACCGTCCCGACTACGATCACGCAGACCGCCACGGTGACGTACACCCAGACTCAGGTCAAGACCGACATCGAGTCTGTCACACAGACGGAGATCATGACGTCGACGAAGCTCGTGCCCACTACCCGCGTTTGGGTCTCTACCGAGATCATCGACAACACGAAGACTATTGACCACACGCTCACTGCGACCGAGACGAGCACCCAGGTCAACATCTACACTCAGACGAAGACGGACACGGAGACGGACACCCAGACGAAGACGCAGACGCAGACTGAGACCGATCTGATGACCGTCACCCAGACTCTGATCTCCACTTATGTCAAGCCGACGACGTACATCAAGACGTATGTGTCCACCCAGGTCATCGACAACGTGAGTGGTGCTCAGTGACTGTGATTTGCTAATCTGGTGCTAACGAAGTTTGCGCAAATAGACCAAGACCGTCGAGATGACGCAGACTGCGACTGTCACTGACTCGGTGACCTACCTCTCGACGGCCACTCAGACTGAGGTCCAGACGCAGACCGCGACCGTCACGGACAAGATGACCGTCACGATGACGGACTTCAGTACCATCATCAAGCCGACGACCTACGTCTCCACGTATGTCTCCACTCAGGTCATCGACAACACCAAGACTGTCGAGTCGACTGTCGTCCAGACCATGACCGAGGACCGTACGCTCACCCAGACCAACACGTATCTCTCCACGATCACTGCGACTGCGACCGAGACGGACACTGCGACCCAGACGCAGACCGAGACTGCCACCGCTACCCAGACCGTCACCGACACCCAGCTCGTGTCGTGCCTCCAAGGCGTAAGTAGCGGGTTTCTCTTAGGTGCGATATCCTTGACTGACGAGCTGTTCTTCCCCAGTGCAAGACTAGCTACTACCTGACCCCGGGTAACAGCGCGTCTTACACCTACGCCTCGACGTCGACTGCCGCCGCGACCTCGGCGACTGCTGGCTACGGTGGCTCGTACGGCTCCAGCTCTAGCTCGAGCGGGTCGTACAACGGTTCCAACAGCGGTTCGTATGACAGCAACGGTTCTAGCTCCGCGTCGTCGAGCTCTTCCGGGTATGCTTCCGCGTCTGCTAGCTCCTCCGCGTCTGCTGCGTCTGCGTCGTCTTCCTCCTCCAGCTCATCATCGTCATCCTCTTCGTCGGGCGGCTCCTATGACAGCTCGTCGAGCAGTAGCTCTTCCTCTGGTTCATATTAAAAGGGACATTAGCGTTCGTACGGACTCATGCTGACGGACAGTTTGGTTCTCGTCGTGTTGTCTTCGATAGATTAGTTGGTATACTAGGTACATAGCACCGCTCTCTAGTCGAAGACAGCGCACGGACAATGATACGTTGCTTGCACATTACAGCTTCAGCTATTCCATCATTTTTTTGCTTCCTTCCATCCACATCTCATCTCGCCGTCATATATATTCGACTACCCTGCTGAAGCTATAAATTAATCGGGCATTTGCGAAGCAAGTTCAATGGTGTGGGGGTCAGCTAAGCATTAGGGTTGCTTCTGGCTTCAGGCTTATCTCCGGTATCTACATTGCAAGCTCAGGCTCTGCCACGGGCAGGCCTGGGGTGGTGAAGAAGCCTCAGGAGACGGACGACGTCGACGGTGATGATGAACATGAGGGCGGTGCCCCTGGAGACTATCCACCTCCGCTGTCAGGTTCCTCAGTTCTCGGCTTGGCACTACTTGATTCTGATTCGAGTCACGTCCACGAAGAGCGCTAGTGCCCGTCTACTTGACCGTTCATAAAGGCACCGCGGGCGGTGAGGAGTCCGGATGGAATCAATTCAGCGCGGCGAAGGGTGTGCGGAGAAGTCCCACACCCGACATTCCGACGGCCCGTACTGGCCCATACTCCGGCCTGCCCGACTGGGCAAATTCGGAGCCTGAGCGCAGCCGTGGCGTCGCTGTCAGATAGTAACAGCACCACATCGACATCAACGGCGACCTCGGGCAGGGCCGCCATGGGGGAACAGCTTGCTACATAGCATCTGGCAGGGTAAGTACGCGCCAAAATACCGATCGGACCACGATTGAGGACGTGATGCTGACGTTGGGCCCGGTGCTAGAGACGTAGCCCAGACGAATAACGGCTCCGTGTGAGATACCCGTAGCGGTTGTATTCGGAGGGACGCATGAGCGGCGTGCATGGCCATGTGCGGACGAGACATTCACGTAGTATCGGTAAGTGCGGTATGCGGTTTAGGACGGTAAGGTGAACGCTAGTGCGGCATTCTAGTACTTGGCTAACGAAGTCGCCGTGCCGAGAATAACGTCACGACAAGTCTTGGAAACCTGTCTATGACCATAGCCGCGCATCATCATTGACATAGTACGTGGTTCGAATAGGTCTGAAGTGTGCTCATAAAATTTCATTGCGAGCCTGCGTACTAAAACATTCCGAGTCTCGCGCCCTGCTAAGCTCGGCCAACATGATACAATGCACATCAGCGACGCTATACATGAGGTCTGACAACGTCCAGGAAAGGAAGATGAGACACGGAAATTTGGCAGGATGCCGAGCCCGGGTAGCTTGGAACAGCTACGAGCGCAAGTTCGGTATGTTTGTGGGTTGGCTTTGTCGGGGAATCGCCGTGCCTATTGATTGTCGTTTCTCATTCCTGTCCTCATCTCTTCGTTATGTACAGCAACGGTGATTCGCTAACTGCCAGCGTGATGTAGATGCGTTGTTGACTGTGACGTCTGTACAACAAATCATGTCGGCGACGAACAAGGTGCTCTGAATCGCCCAAAATGAGCCCGGTATTGATCAGCGGATCTAACGGACTTGAGGTGTGTATGCGGTCAAGTTCCTCTACAAACTATACAACCACATTTAGACGCTGCGCACATTGGTCGAACTCATGAGCCGGGACTTGTAGCAATTGCAAGCAGCTGCGGAGCTCCTGGCTATGACAGGGATCGAAGGTGGTAGATGTGATCAGACAGCACAAATGGTCTTGCTGTAGGCTCGTCAGTCTACGGTCCTTGTCTTCACCGCGTCGTTTATGCTTAAGAAAATGACTTGTCCCAAGAGAACATGAGATAGGTGCCCAGCATAGTATCCATCGCGCATGGCTTGACAGGGTGGTATCCGTCAAGCGCATAAACGCCCCTCTTGGCTCTGTGAACCGATTTGCTCGTCGCTGAAGAGCATTACGGTACTGAAATGTGTAAAGTGAGTCCACAACTGTCCCTCCGGTTTTCTCCTTTGATTAATATGATTTGTCGCCTTCTATTGCGGCCACGCAGGCCCGCTAACGTTCTGTCCGCGGAACACCGCCTGTCAGGTCATCCACGCATACAGCAGGCTGTGCCAGGTTGCCGTTATATCGGATGTTACATGCTAGGAGCCTTCGGTCAACAAGCCTTCGTATACCTGGTGCGGCATTTGCTTGAATGCACGTCGAAGAGAGACCATAATGAGCGGCATTAGCGAAAGAGAACAGGGTGGTCTAACCATATCGGCGAGTGCGTACATAAGGTGTCATGCATATATGGTCATACATCGCTCTCCTGCAGGTTGGCTTCGCTCGCAAGCCCTCATCTCGCACCGCCACTAGTGAACGACTCGACCCTGAGAATGACGGAATGTGGGACTCGAGCTGCATGCGCGTCTGTCTGGCATGTTTCATCCAAGCCGCGAGCTACTAGCCGCCATGTCGCAGCTGTCGGGGACCGAATACCTTCCGTGCCTACGGTTCCCAATTGTCTAATGTTGACAGGTCTAGTCTGGCCATGGATCTCACGTACCGACAGCAGATTTCAATCTCACACTAGTTCGTGTACGGTGGTATGCGCTTGCATGCACGTACCTGCACGATGACACCTTGGGTATGTGTACAGATGCAGACTTTAAGATAGGGCAATGCCGAGCGGCGGGTGGCACCCTTATAATGAGAAAGACGTCTCCACTTTCGCGGCGACGGCGGTCTCATTTTCCTGGTTCGTCGTTCGATTGTTGTAACACGTGCTATACTGATATACAGATGTTGAGACGTGAGGAACTCGTTGCGCTATCACGAGCAGTCATCGATTTTGTAGGGTTGCATACATTGGATGGGGAAATTATCGCTACTAGGATTAGACCGAGTTGAATCGGCTATAGACTATTTAAGAAGGAAACCATATATGCACGACATCCACTTCAGGTTAGACCGTATCTCTGTACTGGAAATCGTGTCTAACCATTCACGTGCTCATACAGGTCTTCTCCCGCGACAGCATGACCAGCTAGAACACCGTTCGTCACCAAAATCCTCAGCGATAACACATCTCCGGACTTCTATGCGATTGTCGCGTCCACTCAGTGGGAGCCTTGGTGGCTTCGTTGGTCCCATGGCTCGTGTGCACCTGTCTGCCACTGCCTATGATTCATCGAGATGTGAACTTGGCGTGGACCGTCTGCCGTATCTACCTACACGTCCGTCTCCTCCGCGCTTATGTTTTCAATGCGGTTGACATGCATTCTCCCCGTCAGATTCAGGAAGGTTCTTTGCCATGGACTCTGAGAATCATTACGTTCTCATATGACACATGGCCGTAACCAACGCATAATGACGTGCGTCACTTACTTCAGACCGGATGAATATAGCTCGTCCGTGCCGTGTAAGGCCCGTGGCTCACGTAGAGCCCAGATGATCGAAGCTCGGAAAGCTGGGAACTCTCTCGGAACAAGTCGGTGGTCGCGTCTGTCCGGCTTCTCCCCCCTGCCGCAATTCTTCCCTTCAACCCGAAGATGGCGAGAGAGAAGTCTGTCCGGGTTACCGGTTCAGAGAGTTACCGACTGACCGCCGCCGCTGGCACTTGGGCAATCCCGGTGAGTGTACGATGTCATGAAGCGGTTCTCGGTGTTTACTTACATGGTTGCCGTTGCTGTTTCCCTGTGCGATTAGCTCCATCGGAACAGGCACCCACAATGACCACGAACCCATGCTTCAAGTTTCGGCAAGAGGAAGAGTCTCGGACGATGCTCTTTCATGCTTGGGTCATGTCCTTATCCGGCACAGTGCATGCGAAGGCGTGTGCTCTGTCTGATATACGGGAGAACATGGTCGATTGGGATGACGGCGTGTTGTTCTCTGCTGAACGGAGGTTCGTAAATGCATGGAGCATCGCCACATTGGTTGGCCAGAACATTGAGTCCTTCTGGTACGACGGGCCTTGGCTCTTGCGCTGATCTCCATGGCGAAGGATGACGACCCGGCGGCATCCGACTCGAGCGGGTGGCTATTTTGAGCCCTCATCTCCGTCACCGCCTAAGCAGTCGACCTGCGGCAATTTCAGCCATCCGAAATAGTGCAAGTTGTAGAACTGGTCTTCAGAAACTTTACCACTCGGAGCTTGTGGCGTAATCTCGGAAATTCTCTTAATTTGCGGCGCGAGCGGACGTCTGAGTCAACCTTGCATTGACAGATTCTGCCGGTGAGAGGAGGTGTATCAATGGTCGCGTTGGCGTTGAAGGGAGGCCGGTTTCTCCTTGTAATATTGCCGGGGAGAAGACCCAGGACTGCCCACGATCAAGAGCCTCGTGAGCGATCTGTACTGCCAACTTCAGGCTATCGCCACGATTCACCAAACGGAAATAGGTTGCGTGCGGTGAGACATCGATGGCCTGGTTGATACGGCGGATGGTACACTGATCTGGAGTCTGTTCGCTTCGCTGTTAGGCAGCTTCCAGAGTCGGCACCAGACGGGGAGTACTTGTCACTTGTGGGAAACGTCTGTCAGATCTCGTTTCACGACATTGTCTCGCAGTCATAGGAGGACCAGTATCGCACGCTGGGTCCCATCTCTCTGAGACCACCCGTCTATCTTGGAAGATGTTTTAAAGACGTAGACAACTTCTGTGTTTCATTATGAGTCAGTGTGGGGTGATGCCACGATCGATTGCAGCTCTGCTTAGCTCCCGGATGGATGAATGCTTCGCGTTCCATAGAATGTCAAAGTAGTCGAAGTTTCCCACCAGCAAGTCTCGGAGATGTTCGACGGCACCCAAGTCTCCCAGGAACCATGTCTTCTCCCGTGTTTGAGCGACAGTCGTGTGTAGTGTGGAGAGACAACCGGGGCAACATTGAACCCGTCTAAGGAGTACTTGCGCTGGAGGGTGCTGTTCAAAGGACCTGCGTTCCCAAACGTAGCGCACCCGGGGGTCCAGATCTAGGCGCCTGGAAGATGAGTCAAGATAATGAAAGATGACGCGACATTGCCTCCGGCTCATCCCAACCATCTACATCGATGTCTCTGGAAGTCTGTGAAGCGTTAGTCCCTCTCTGCTTCGCCCTCGTGAACCCCATCGACCAGCATGCCTCTGCAGGAATCGCCGGACCCCGCTACGCCCGCATGGGCGCAAGACGTAAAATCTGAATATTTGATATTTTTCTCCTCGCGTGGCGAGAGCGGCAAACTCTGGTGTCCGGTACGTATGCGCGCGCAATATCTAACCTCCGTTTTGATAGGAACCATGTACGACAGGACTGTGTGGCTGTCGAAGATTTGGTGAAACAGACCTTTGAATTGGTTGAAGGCCCCTCTGGGACCATCGTGTACGTCGGACAACGCTCAGAGTAAGCCTATCCAATAGTAGTCCTGATAACGAGTACGGAGCACCGAGCGGCGTCAATACAGGTGGAAGACTACTTCCAATCCTTTCAGATCCCAGCCCTGGAACGTCCAATCGGTCCCGACTGTCGTCAGGATCCGAGACGTGAGTATTTCCCGTAAACCTCGCATCGCGCGGGCGCTAACTCCGCCATCGGAATGCTCCATACATCCGTCAGGGAGCACGGCTGGTTGAACAAGAGTTAGGGGAGAAACTCAAGTCATTCATTTGCGAGTAGACGGCTTTACAAGCTGGAGTTAGTAGGTATATTCCCTCAATGCATAACTATATGTCCTCGCTTCAACCTCCGAGGCAGGAGCGCCCACGTTGACGCATCCAGTCAGACTCCATGCGTTATCAGCGCCGGTTTTGGAGGCCACGATGCATTCGCGGACCCAAGCGCGTGTGCCGAGGCAGATTATCTGCCTAGAAGAGTCCACTTCTCCGGAGGTATATCAGCTGGATCCGTCATTCTTCGGCTTTGGTGGTCTTCAGGGCCATACAGTCCTGGGCAGGTGATGGCTTACGGCGCATGGGCAAAGCGCCGAAAGTCCCCAATGGGCAAACCGTCCGCAATGAAATCAGACGATGGAAGTCCTGGACGATTCCAAGCCCGTCGGTCTCCTACTTAATCATTCTAACCTCCCCTAGATTGCTCCAGATGCAAGAATGCCCCCGTACGGCGACTTCTGTACCATCATGCCTGGCGACACATCCAAGGGCCCCCATGGGCGGCCGTCCCCGCTCCCGTGGCAGGGCATTTCGAAAGCGAAGAAGGCTGATCGGGAAGCGCGCCTCGCGAAACGGCCCGGATGGCGACTGGGATTCAACGTACCCTCGGAGCAGAACGACGTGGCACATCTTCCGACATCTCGCCTCACCCCCCGTCAGCTCGAGATAGTGCATCTGGACGCCACTGCCCTCACCGAGGCCCTGCGCATCCGGCGCTATACTGCGGTGGAAACTCTCGAAGCATTCTGCCACGTTGCAAGCATCGCACAAGATGTCACCAACTGCCTAACGGAGGTGCTCTTTGACGAGGGTCTCGCCAGGGCACAGGAGCTGGATCGGTATCTGGAGGAGACGGGGCAAGTTGTCGGTCCGCTTCATGGAGTGCCCGTATCGATCAAGGATCACGTCCGGGTGAAGGGTCATGACACGTCCACGGGCTACATAGCGTGGGCAGGGCGTACAATTGCTGAGAAGGACGCAGTGGTCGTTGACATTCTGCGAAAGGCTGGAGCTGTCATCTACGTAAAGACTGCGAACCCGCAAACATTATTAGTATGTCTCGTCACCGTGAACCCTGTCGGTGCCTTGCTTACCAGACGTTTGTCGCACAATGTAGTCTCTCGAGACGAATAACAACATTTACGGCAGGACGGTGAATCCGTACAACCGTTGTCAGTCCCTCACCCTACACTCGTGTCATCCTCGTGACTACCCTCTGACATCGTCACAACAGCGCTGACACCAGGGGGTAGCAGCGGGGGAGAAAGTGCCCTGATTGCGATGCATGGGAGTCCCATGGGTATCGGAACAGACATCGGCGGTTCGATCGTAAGTCTTGTTCTATAATACACTGAATTGCGCAGTGATGAAGAAGCACCATACTCAATAATGTTAATCCAGCGCATTCCTGCCGGATACATGGGGCTATATGGCCTTAAGGGGTCTGTGGGCCGGCTCCCGCATGCGGGACTAATGGGTTCTCATGATGGCATGGATGCGATTGTTGGTGCACTCGGTCCGCTCGCAACGTCTGCGCGCGACCTGGCGTTGTTTTGCCAAGTGATGTCGCAGTACGAACCCTGGCTCGTTGAACCACCCCTGATCGAGATTCCATGGAGGCAGGAGATCGTTGAGGGCGCGGGCCTCCCCACTAAACTTGCGATCGCGATCCTGTGGGATGACGGGGTAGTCACCCCGCACCCACCTATTCTGGACGCTCTTAAGCGGACGAGCGATGCCCTGGTTGCCGCGGGCCATGACGTTATCACCTGGGATCCTATAGAACATCAAGGAGCCTGGGATCTTATTGTAGGTTCCGTTCTGGTACGGATCTTATGTCAACACGTGCTGATAAACATTGATTGATAGACAAAGTTATACTTCTTGGACGGTGGCGCAGAGTATCGGGACGTTTTGGAACACGAACCCCACGTTCCACAGACAGAGTGGATACTCTCCCAGGTTCCGAACGGAGGAAAGCCGTTCTCAGTCGCGGAGCTATTCGAGCTAAACCTTGCACGGGAGGCTTTTCGAGCCAAAGTCGCCGCCCACTGGAATGCTACGAAATTCCGCACGACGACCGGTCGCCCAGTCGACGCCATACTTAGCCCAGTCGCAGCGACCCTTGCGCCCCCGCATGATACCACGCGGTGGTGGGGGTACACGTCCTACTGGAACCTGATGGATTTCTCAGCCGCCGTGTTCCCCGCTGGTCGTTTCCACGCTGCGGGATATCGCCCACTGGCTTTACCAAATGGCGTGGTCCATGGCGGCGAGCCTCGGAACGACGCGGAGCGATTCATCCGGGCACAGTGGGACCCGAAGACGTACGACAACGCCTCTATCGGGCTCCAGCTCGTCGGGAGACGTCTGAGCGAGGAGCGTCTCCTGGGCGTGCTGCATAGGGTCGAGGAAGCCGTAGAGAGGTTCTCCGATCAGTGAGGCGAAGGAGCCCGCCGGCGATACTGCATCTCGATGGGAAGGTGTGCCTCTGGTGTAGGCTTCCTAGCCCAAGATCTTGGTATGGATACAAGTGGGCGCGAGATGCCATTGGGATGAATCTCCGGGTGTCGCGCCGGGGAGTTACCTTCTGTAACTTAGAGCCATGAAATGTCAACGATCTGTCTGACACTCCATTGAGAAGTACCAGTAGGCTTCCATGGTCAAGAATACATCTCCAGGTGATTCTGCGACTTTCAATGCTTTCGCAGATCCGTCCTACAGTGATGTGGACCTGAACGATGAAATGGAATCTCAATATAATCTCGTACCTTGACGTAAAAGAGCGCTCGCTGTTATAATTGCTCCCCAGAGCGCAGCTGTCCTTACGCCGCAAGGGTCATGTCCTCCTAAACATAGCAATGTGGGCATAGCTTCCACGCCCGTTCAATATCCCAGGGGACGAAAGTAGATGGATATTTTCCACGCTTGCGAGATGAACGTGACAGATTGTCAAACATACGGGGCGTCGGCATTTTGTCAGGTACGGCTTGCGCCATCCTTCCCATGTGCAAATGCTGTTACGCAGCGAAAATAAACCCGATTGCCATGGGTTCAGAATAAAATGGTCCTTCCGGACTACAAAGCAATGCACCAGATGGCCTGCGGGTTTAACGGCCTACTGCGGTCGCAGCTGATACCCCGACGTTGCCAGTATGTAGTCGATTTGATGTGCAGACTATCATATAGGCAAGTATACGGCACCGGACCAATGTCGGGCTCCTTGGGAGGCTAGAGATGATGACATGACAGGTACTCAGAACTGTTGACCCAACGCCGCTTTGTGGCAATCATTTGGAGCCAAGGACGCGGGCCAAAGTAGAGCAAGACCAAGGTACAGGTGAAACGGACGGGTCGGCGTATGGGTTGTTGTTCTTGTTCTGAAAGCGGAAAATGATGAGAGATGGCAAGACACGGATCGGAGGGCGATGGGTCTGTGCTGTTCAACTTCAAACCCGAACGTGTTGCCTCGTGTGCCACGTGGGAAATGAAACCTGTACAGCCCCCCCGCCGCACTCCTTGCCATCTCATACTTGGCAGCCTCCTCGTCCCGTTTTCCTCCCGCACCGCCATCCGGCTTGCATCGAGTCTGTCGTGCATCCACCGTCTCTCTTTTCCAGCGGTGCAGGCCTCGGCATTCTCTCCAGCGCGCGCAAGATGCCGGACATATGCACTGAGCGATCTTGTGGAGGTGCCACGGCGAATCCAGCTGGCGAAATTGACTGCTGTTATGTAACCGCATGGAGTCTAGCACACGTTTCCTGCCTTCGTCTTCCCCCTCGGTCGCTTTGCAAAATCACGAAGCGGGCGAAGATGAACGGATTCCCGGCAGGGATAGCCATGACGAACTGACGCCTCCGTGCAGTCCGCGCTCGTGAAGGCGCGCGCTCTTCCTGAAATTTATTGGCGTCTGGGGACGGAGGGCGAGCGTTGGAAGAGCTTACTGAGCCGTCTGGTATCCCGGTGCCGCGCCGGTGGTCAGAGGCCCGGGAGTGAGATCACTGGGATGTCCGATACTCTATGTCGTCCGTCACGCCAGCCGACGCATGTCTGCTAAATGGGTAGACGCCTCGGACCCCTACGTTCGGGACTCTAACCTCTTCTGCCACCCTACAGTCGTCGTCTATCGGTGTCAAGATGGCTGTCCACTTCCTGTCTGACATACATATAAAGCGGCCCCCTACCTCATCACCAGGCCACGCAAAGTGCAGCGGTTCCCCTCCCTACCCTCCCCCCTTTCCAGTTCGTCTCCCTTATATTAAGGTAGGCTCACACTCTCCTCCTTCGTCTTGCATCGCATTGCTCATTCGTCCGCAGTGCTTCCAATATGCCTGGTCTCCACGCGCACATTCTCAATCAATCCTTCGTCCTTCAGCACGGTAGTGCAGATGACTTCCTCACTTTCACCTATCCTACCCTACGTCGCCACGAAGCGTCATCTAACATCGTCCTGGCGCACGCGCTCAAGCGCGTCGGTGCCGAATCCGCGCTAAGCCGATATGAATTCATGTCCGATGAGGATGTCGACGCCCTCTTCTCTTGCATGGACCGCGATCGCTTCGTTCCCCGCACTTCCACAGACGCCTTCTGGCTGACCCTGTGGAGCGTCTCTTCCCCGTCTGCTTCGCCGACCCTCGACCTTGTCCTCGCCTGCGTCAATTGGTCCCTCGGAGACTACCCCATCTTCCTTTGGACGCCTCATCGTGCATCCGCGGCATCCGGGAGCTGGTCAATCCCTCGCATTCAGCAAATAGCAAAGCACCTTCACAGCTGTGCCCCTCCGGAACGTGTCTACTCTGTCTTCGGCCTGACGTCCTTGGTCAAGACGTTCTCCCGCGTCTGGACACAAATGACCGGCTTTGTCGTCGAGCAGGAACCGTTCTACGCCGCCCTCTTTTCGTACTGCACCGCCCACACCTTTCGGGAAGGTGACACTGCGCTGCCAGACGGCCACCAACTTCGCAAGGGCAAGATGACAGACCTGGAAGCCATCGCACAGCTCTGCAAGGAGTTCGCTGATGATTCCGTGAGTGCCGCAGGGCAGCTGTTGCCGATGTGGGCGTTGTGTGGCTGACATTCCGGATCTTGGAGCAGATCTATTTCCCCCTTTCCATCGAGCGCGCCCGGATCGAGGCCCGGGAGCTCATCTCCAAGGGGCTCGTGTGGGTCTACGATGCCCATGGCGATATTACGACCATCTGCGCGGTAACGCGGAACAGTCACCGCGTCTCCGCGATCACGAAGGTGTACACCACCCCCAGATGGCGACGGAGAGGTTGCGCCGAGTTCCTTGTGCGAGACGTGACAGCACAGTAAGTTGTTTGCCGTGCTTGCGAGACGCGCGAAGCTAATGAGACACGCCGTTATAGGCTGCTGTTCGACTTCGGCAAGGAGTCTGTCGTTCTTTACGTCGGACACGAAAACAGCGCCCAACGCGTCTACGACCGAGTGGGCTTCGCAGGCCTGTGTGGCAAACCCAAGCCTGATGCCGTGGAGGACTCTCTTGAACTTGGTTTTGTCGGTGCTGACAGGGGACACTGGTGAAGTGCCCGCAGCTCTCAACTGTCTCTACTAGTGATAGGTCCCCTAATTTGCTCCACCTCACCTGACTGCCTAATATCTCAGACTATCATCTCCGTCTTTACTTATTGCATGTCTAGTTCACCGAACAATCCATTTGTAGCTCTAGTCATTTAGCTCTATTTAACTCCCACGACGTACTCTGTTCTGCACTCGGATTGTCTTAGCCCACACTATTTCCTCTGGTACACTTCTAAGTAATCCTTAATAAGATGTTGACATTTATCACCTCGCTTCAGGACGGCGAGATGGCAGTTGGCTTTGGAATGGAACTGCGGAGGCGGAGATAGCCCACGCTGCCAGCACGTTGATCCTTCGAGTGTTCGCCGTGTGCCTGACAAGTGCCTTGGTGCTTCCATACCGCGTTTCCCACGAAGCCGAGAGTGACCTCATTCTTCCCCGACACACAGGCATGGTACGTTCCGTAAGGGGGTTTAGTAGACCCGCCGCGTACAGACAGTCCTCGGAGAGGACCAGATACGCGGTAGTTCTGCCATAGGTGCGTAAGACGGCAAGGTTGACGGATCGCAAGTAGTGCAGTGCCGCAGGTCGGAGATCGGAAGCGAGGGACCCGAGTCACTAACCAACGTCTACCACACTCTAGAGTTGCTATCACGGATGATGGCTGAAACGCCCTTCTATACTCTTGGCAGCCGCTTGGTACATCGGCCGGGGTCGAGAAGACATCCGGAGCGAGTCTTCGTTCTGCAGAAGGACACGAAGACAACGGCGGGAGCAGAGGTCCCCGTTTGCATCGCCTGTGGCACCGGTAATGCGTAGGCTCATTCAACGTGCCTGACAAGAGCGGAACAATCGAGGAAAGTTCAGGCTCGGAGTCCCATACCGCGTGTGTTGTGGATGTAGGGACGGTGCCTGCTCAAATTCGGGTACCGTGTGCTTCTCTTATTATGCCGGGTCTAGATGATGAGACCAAGCAGCATCAAGGGGGCTAAACCGGACAAAATGAGCATCATGTCTGCGATAGACTCGGAAACACATGTGGCTGCAGAATTTTTGCGCAAATGCCGTCACGACGAACATTGGGAAATACACTATCTGTTCTACAGCAGCCGTGAAGACCGACGCTACGCGAACGGCTGTTCGTGTCAACCACAGAAGCTCAAAGGTATTCCCGGGATTGGCTCGAGATGCACTCAAAACTGCTCCATTTGTAGTAGCACGTGAGGTAGGACCCTATGACAACAAAGGCTATAGAAGCATCATTCTAAGGCTTCAGACGCTCTCCTAGACTTTCTTCGATGCCACGGGTTCTCTTTGTGAGGCTTCGAACATGGCTGATCTCCGAGAGTGGATGGTGAATGACGCAAGCAATTTCCCAGATGTTCGCTGAGATATACCATGGGCAAGGGGTCTTTAGCACACATGGCGTGAACCGTTGAACCGAGGCGCCAGCTTCTAGTTGAAATTATGCCGCTGTGCCATGGCGACACATCCAGCGCCAGAGCATATCGCTGAAGAAGAACATGAACCCTGCGCTCCCGTAAAGTTTCGTCAGCATCTGTAACAGTGGCATGACTCGATGCGTATGGACATGATGGAGTGCCCCTGCCGATGCCGTACGCTGTGGGGTCCGACGCGATTGCCGGTACCCCATAACCATACGACGAAACCGGCCAAACCATTTACTGACGTGCCTGCGGGAATGCTGTGATCATCCGTCTGTTCTGTCAGTCAGCCGGATGTCATTTACGGGAATTTGTTCAACATACCCGAAGCCCCTTCCCATGCTCTTCAACGAGTGCGATCAAGTGGCCAGCCTGACTAGGTTCCCATGAAGGCAACGACCCTACCATAATCAAACTTGCATATGCTCGTACCTGGGGCATCGGATGCCGGTACCTCATGCTCCCAAATGACTCTTCCCCTAGTCTCTACAAACTGCCATTAATGCCAGGAACACATCTGCCCACAGCTAATCGCAATTGACCGCGAGCTTTCATGCACACGAAGATTGCGAATTGCCATTCATGTGGTATGCCGACACAAAGCATCGCCTCACCGTCACTCCTGTTCCGCACTCCACCGCTCGAAGTCACCACTCTTCCCGCCGGTCTTGCGTTCTACCAAGATTTCTCCGATGACCATTTCCTTCCCGGCTACTGCCTTGAGCATGTCCCACACTGTCAGCAGCCCGACAGATACCGCAGTCAGGGCTTCCATCTCCACTCCGGTTTTGCCCTCGCACGAGACTGTTGCGCGACAGACGATGCTGCACGTGGGTTCCTGACTCGCCTCCCCAAGCCCGATCTCGGACCTTGTGTGGACTGCGAAGCTGTCAATAGCAACCGTAGGCGCGTCGGAAGCGGACCGGGAGTGGACGCCGACGTTGATATGATGAGCTTCGGGCTGCAGCGTCACGGAAACATGCGAGATGGGAAGAGGATGGCAGAGCGGAATGAGCTCCGATGTGCGCTTGCAGCCCATGATCGCTGCCAGCTGAGCGACGACGAGCACGTTTCCCTTCGACCGGGCCTTCTCCTTCGCTTTGAGAAGAGCCGTCATCTCCGCGTTGTTGGCCAGATGTCCGTGGTCAGCTTCTTGAGTGCCGTCGGTGACGAGCTCGTAAGCAACCCTCGGGATGATTATGCGACCCGATGCAGTAGCGGTCCGACGAGTAGGCTCTTTCGGAGATACATCAACCATAGAGGCGCGGCCAGCGTCATCAATATGCGTAAGGCGTGCAGATGGGGTGCCACCGTGACCAGTGGGTGCCGTGCTGAAACGCCGTACTGCAAGGGAGCGAGCGGCATGCGCTCGCGGACTATAGTTGCGGGTACACTCCGATCGCGATCTCGGTGAGCGTTGAATTGACCGGGTGGGGACGGGGCGATGCACGTCTATTCCACAGGTGAAGGATCAGGGCGAAGGATCAGGATCTAGATAGCCCTGTACGAACAGTGTGGAGACATAATACTCAACCGCCGATGAGAATCATGGGTCGATTTGTGACGACGTCGATGTCTTCCATACCGGCGTGCTTTTCCTTCTTCCCTGAGACCGCTCTGCCAATGGTCATGAGAAGCACGTCATCGCTCGCTCCTCGACGCATCTCGTCCCGCAGTGAAACCTCCTTGGCGTCGAAGAGACAGACCTAGCAGGAACAGCGTTAAGCCTGCCAACGTGCTAACCTATACAAGTACGTAGAGATGAAAATTTCACCTTGATTTGTCCGTCCGCAGTAAGCCGCAATCTATTGCAAGAGCCGCAGAAGTGGTCGGACATGCTACTGATGAAACCGAAACTTCCTCTGTAGCCAGGTATGACGTATGAGCGCGCGGTGTCGTTCAGCTCGTCAGAGCCTTTGCGGAGTGCCGGATACCGTGCTTGTATACTTGAGAGTAACTCTGAAGACGGAACCATCTTCGCCTTGTCCCACTTATTGCCTATATGAATAGTGTCAAGTAGGATTCCAAGTACGAGCTAGAAAAGCCGACAAGCAACTTGCCTGTGAAGGGCATGAACTCGATGAAGCGCACAGACAACCGGCTGTCCTTCGTCATTTCGACGAAGTCCAAGACCTCGTGGTCATTCAAGCCTTTGATGACGACGACGTTCAGTTTCACCGACTGCAGTTCTGGGGTTGCCAAACTCGCGCGGAGTGATCGCAGTACTGCATCGTGGCCCATCCGGCGCGTCATTATTTCAAACTTGAAGGGGTCAAGGGTGTCCAAGCTAGAGGATATCTTTAATCACGGCGAAACGCGGACATTAGTGCGGTGCAAACCTGATGTTCAGGTGCGTGAGCCCATTCTGAACAAGGGCGGGCAATTTCCGGGGCAACGCAATGCCGTTGGACGTCATTCCGATCGCCTGCAGCCCATATTTGCGCAGCTCGTTGAGCCGGCCTTCTCGGAGGCAATGTTAACGCTTCCGAAACGATCGTCCTCAATGGGCGGCGACCCTTAACGCATATATCGCCGCCCATACCGTGTATAGCCTGAGTAATTACGTACCGACTATTTCGACAATGCCCTTTCTGACGGTAGGCTCTCCACCCGTCAGTCGTATTTTGGAAACGCCGCTCTTTACGAACAGCGTTGCCAGACGGATGACTTCATCATCCGAAAGGAGGTGCTCTGGTGGCGATAGTTCGACGCCCTCGCTCGGCATGCAGTAGAAGCCTACACGCGCACGTTGCAGTTAATAATCCATCCGCATCTGCCCGCATCGCATTGTAACAGGCATGGGCGGTATGGGGGAAGAAATTTCGGAAAGGATGGGGACGAAATACGCACATCGGAGATTGCAGCGTTCCGTCAGCGAGATGCGAAGGTAGTTGTGCTGCCGGTTGTATGCGTCCATCAGGAAGGGCGAGACCCCGCGCTCGGCCTCAATGGAAGCAATCCTGTCCTGATATGAGAGAATGGGGCGGTCTGAACACGATGGCCAGGTTCGTTTGGGTGGGTGATGGATGATGGGATCGCACCTGAACACGACGCTGGACACCCTGAGGCCTTTCTGGCAGTACATCGGGATGGTCGAGCGCGGAGTACGTCCTGAGAGCACGACTGACTTGCACGATAGGAGATCTATAACCGCGCAGATGGCGGAGGACCATATTCACAGTAAGAGCAGCACAGAGGAGAGATGGAGGCCTTCATATGGAAGACGGCCTGCAGTCGACATCAGCGTCAGAGAGAAAGCGGACCCTGGACTGCGCGCCGCGGCGATAGGCGGGAAACTGCGGCTACGCTGAGATACGTCTAGCCTGCCCTACGGTCGACAACGGCTCTTGACGCGTTGACCAGCGTATTTGTACGACGAATGTTACTGGCCAGCCGTCATGGTGCAATGAAGGAGACATGTGCTCAAGCGATAGCCGATCATTGGATGGGGCCATCCGCCATCGAGTACAATTACTGTATAAGCTAGGAGTATCTACAGCATGTTCTTTGTCTAGATTCCCCGAAGCCAGACCTCGGAGATCAACCACTTATGTTGTCTATCTTCCCCAAGCTGTACCCGAAAAAATCTACCGGTTGCTCTGAGATGAAGTTCATTTGACCCAAGAAGCACTTGCACGCTGCACTCTCGCAATGGAACTTGTACGCCATCGACCGCTGCCTCATGCGTGGTATCATAGCAGATAGGGGGGTGAGAAACGGCATGCTGTCAGGTACAGATGACAGTTAACATGTGTGCCAGAGTAGACGAGCGGACGGGAGCACCTACCCAAGTGACATTGTCAGAAGACCATCCGAACGAGCACGCAGTCAAGAAGGTCTCCGTTGCGGAATCAATCAACAACACGAGCTCAACTGCAGTCCATTCTCGTGCTTCGCTGATGTCGGTGAGAACATCCAGGGTCACCGCGTCCCCCTTCGTTGCATCTGCACAATAATTAGCCAATTCCGTATCAAGACAAGGCGTTACGGGTGATCCAGCATACCATTCAGGCTGCGGAATGTGGTACTGATCTTCGCGTCCACAGCATTGGAGGGAGCGTGTTCCTGGTAATTGTGTTTCCCAGCATCACCGAGTGCTTGCGCATTCTTGACTTCCATAGTCAACATTCCCGATACGTCGGCGGCAGTGTGAGAGATCTCTTTCGGAAGTGTGCGTATGTTGGTCTCGAGAACGCATGCCGACCCGCGGCACGCAGCGCGGGTCCAGGGTCGCGGTGGACGTGCTCCGTCGAGCGTAACATACGGCAGGGTGGGTAGAGTTTGTTGCCCACCGTCTTGGTGTCCCTCGCACGACGCGCGTCCGCACCGCACCAGTGATTCCAGGTAGCGCGTTGCCCGGAGCTTCGTGGGGATGCATGAGCTTGAGTGACGTGATGAGAGGCGGGAATAGCACCAACAATATACTTCTTATTGCGCTCATCGCCTTCGGATCCCACAGTGAAGGGCTGACCACCGCCGAGTTCGAAACCTTGGTCAAACCAGACTTCCGGGACCCGATTGCTCAATATTGTGAAGAAGTTGTCGGCCATATGCACGTCATCAGCGGGCGCATCCAAGTGCCGTAAGAGATTGAGGAAACCCTGCGCCTCTGATCGACGCAACATCGTACCATGGCCTAGCCAGGCGAACGACGTGTGGATGTCCGAGACTTCCCGATCGGGAGATCTTGAAACATGTGTCTCCCGTAACGTCGTCGAGAGATGCTCGTGTGGCGGCAACAGGTGTATGGCCCGGGAAGCATCGGGTTCGGAAATACGGGCTTGGAGGGATTGAATGATCTCCGGGCGGATGAGGTAGTCGTCGTCCTGCATTGTGAAGTATATATCAGCCGCTCAAATGGGGGAGGACGGCGCGCGTGCACTCACCTGGATGAAGCAGTAGGGTGTGTTGGCTTGAGCGCAAGCGAGGAATCGCCCCTGAAAGAGCGAGTTTGCAGGAGCGTTATGAATCCGCAACTTCGACTTAGGACATCCCGTGTTCTTCATATCCTGCAAGAAACCTTCAGTCGGCCCGGATGAACGAGCGTTTGGGATGAGCATGGTATGCACACTTCGTAAGTGAGCCTCCTCGGGTTGTTGTTCCAAATGAACACCTCGGCAATTGTTCCTTGGAGCCAGGGTCCGCACAAGAGGGAAGTGATGAGCATGACGTTCGGGAAGCGAGACCAGTTGAGGATCACGGCAGTGACGTTGGGGCTTCCCTGCGAGACGACATCTTGAAGCACTGAAATCCGTTCATACGCGTCGAAGTCGGAGGCATCAGTGCGGTAGGTCACTGGGAGCTTCCTAGGCATGAAGTCAATGTCGGCGAGGAGGGGAAGATAGAGGGATTTGGGCGTTTCTTCTACTTGGGTCGGCCAAATCTGGCGAGCGATCAGTCCGAGCAGGACGGGGACGGC